CCTTCCTCAAACGCGATTGGACGATCGCAATCAAACGCGATGAACGGTTCATATTCGTTTTTTCTTTAAACGCAATCGTGTGGTCTAGATTAAATCGTGATGAACGGTCCATATTCATTCTTTTATTAAATGCAATCGGACGGTTGATATCAAATACGATGGACGGCCCAGATTAAAAGGAGACAAATATAAATACCTCACTTCACACCAAACCCTAACCCTATCAGCTAGCTACCCCACCCCTGCCTGAGAAGAAGAACCAGTCGCCGAGAAGGGAGCCAACCGCCGGCCGCCGCCACGCTAGAGCCATCTCCGACCACTAAAAAAGGTAAAAATTGTCTCAATTGCTCGAAATTTGATTTTGAACACTCTCATGGCCAAATCGGAGTCAAAGGACCGGCGGATGGGCTGAAAACTACGGATAAAGCCTGGTGGCCTCGCTGCAGAAAAAATCAAAAATTGCCTCCGATGAGCCCCTTTTCGATTCTCGTTTCGTGCAATTTTTTTACCATTGTATTCACCGTTCTGTTTTCTAGAGGTTGACTGAAGAAAAACACCCAACCACGAAGGTGAGCCAGCAGAGCCGCCGCACCGAAAAATTCTGTCGCTGGTGAGTTTTTATTTTTTGACTTTTTTCAGCCAACTAAGACTCCTTAACGTATGTTCTCGTAAGGATGAGTATAAAACCGGCTAAAATCGGCCAAAACTAGCCGAAAACAATTAGTCCGAAGCAAACCGCCGCCATGGGAAGCAGGACCATCACCGGAGCACGGCGCCGCCGTCGTGCTGGAATTCCAAAATTGGCTGAAAATAGTTTCTAACACCGATTTTGAGTTTTTTGGGGTATCTCTAGGTACTCGAAACTTGTTTTAATATCCGAAGAAAAATTCCGAGAACCGAGGACCGCTAGTAGGCGCAGCTGAAAGTTTAGCATTTTGAATACTAATTCAAGTAATAATCTTTCACCTTATTCTCTGTTATCGAATTGAAGTTTGATTATAAATAATACGATATTTTGCGTGATTTAAAAATATCGATAATTAAATGTTACTAATAGAGCTGGAACTTGTTATTTATTATTATTTGTCATGTTTTAATTAATTGATTAATTTTACAGTTTCGAATATATGATAATACACTATAATTGGTATGATGATCCAATTATATTTCATTGATGCATGTATTGCTTATTTTGCGTGGTTTACAGTTAAATTAGAAAATTAAAAAATTAAATGTAAATGAAAAATTGATTGATTAACTAAATGGATGAATGGTAGTCTTACTGGATATCCTGGGAGATAGTGGACGGATCAAGTACATAGGAAACCCTATTATGAACATTGTCTCATACCAGACGAGGTATCGAGGATTGATATTTTGGCGCTCATACCAGACGGGGTATGGGGACGACCCATTTCACCTTCATACTAGATGGGGTATTTGATGGATGATACTTTTGGCACTCATACTAGATATGGTATAGGGATAGCCAAGTAGTTTACAATATTGAATAATGGTTCATGTATAGTAAGGACATCACAACGTACCCCCATGGATACCAGTAGGTAGATAAAAAATAAAGTTATTGTTCTGACAAATTGAATAGAGATTATGATGTTGGTTATGTTATTACCTCTATGAGTCAGTTTTGAAAATCTTACTACAGTAAATATGTGGTAAATGATTTTAGTTATGATAAATGAATTTACTTAAATTATAAGCTCAATTAGTTGTTTTTATAATTTCTACCAACCTTCATTTTTGTATCGGTGAGTAGTGTGACATTCTTACTGGGTAGTGTAGCTCACTCTTTCATTAACTATTTCATATCAAGAGGATCAAGATCCAGATCCCGAT